CTGTAAAGCTTTCTGCTCCATGACATGATGCCTTTGTATATGCACCTAAAATTGCATTGGTTTTTTTTGTTTGTTTGTTTTGGGTTTTTTTTTTGCAGCCATATTGCATTGTAAACTAGGTTTAACTTGCTCTCAACTCTCAGGGATAAAGTCAGGTATGAAGAAGGGAGGGAAAAGCAATACCCCTAACTGATTAGTAAGATGTAGATATAGCTGCATTCTCATCTCCACTAGATACTTCTGTACAGCAGAAGTAAGTTTGTCAGAACTGCTGAGTAGAAGACCTGGATAAAGCAGCTGTCTCTGGGTATGTCTGCACAGCAACTAGACATCTGTGGCTGACCTGTACCAGATGGCTCAGGCTCGCGGGGCTTGGGCTGAGAGGCTGTTTCATTGCAGTATAGACTAAAACTTCTGGACACAGGGTGGGGCGCAGGCTCTAGGACCCTGTGGGTGGGAGGGTCCCACAGCTTGGGCTCCAGCCCAATCCCGGAAGTCTACACGGCAGTGAAACTGCCCTTCAGCCTGAGTCGGCTGGTACAGGCCAGCCATGGGTTTTGCTTTGCTGTGTAGACATACCCTCTGAGAACACCCGATGGGAAGGGTTCAGAGTCCAGAGAAAGTGAAAAACAATAGCCCCAGTGGCCATAGGGTGAAAAGTTTCTCTGCAAGAAGGACACATTTAATTGTCTTCCCCCGCCCTTGTACTTTTTTTCCTTTGCATTCATCAATGGATTGTATCCAATCACCAGCAGCATAATGAAAGGAAGACATGCTTCTGTGACTTACTCTGCAGCATTGAAAATCATGACTGCAGGGGTGCTGGAACAATTTTTGTGGTGGGGGTGCTGAGAGCTATTGGACCAAACTGTAAACCCTGTATATAATGGAAACCAGTTCAAACCAGTTCCAGCACCTATGCAAGCCTGGGAAACTGGAGAGACTGATGTTTTGACCTAGGCCCAGATCCACAAAGGTGCTTAGGTGCCTAGACCATAGTCTGATGTGCAGCTCCCTGAGTCTCTCCTGTTTGAAGCTGTTCCACTGTGTATAAATATCTAGAGTCTCTTGGCCAGAGAGAAGAGAATGACTGTATAGTCCTGTGGTTAGGGTACCCATGGAGAGATGAGATACTCATGGTCCAGTCCCCCTGCTCCCTTGTCTCTTTAACAGCTTCAACAGGAGAGACGGAGAGTTTCCCTCCACCGCCCACATCAGAATATGCCATCACTCAGTGGTTAGAATACTCTCCTAAGAGGTAACGATGCCTGTTCAAATCCTTTCTCCCCTGCACGCAGAGAGGGGAATTGAACTTGGGTGTCCCACATTCCAGGGGAGTGCTCTAAGCACTGGGCTAAAAGTTATAAGGCAGGTGGCAGGAACCACCACCTTCCTCTCTCCCACATTTTGCGTGCAGTGAAGCAGGCCTAACTCATCCTCCAGAAGAAACAGCTTAGGTGCCTAAGCTGCCTGGCTGCAGGAGAGAGGATCCCAGCTGTGGATCACAAGCAGAGATGGGGCCTCCCTCCAGCCTGGACTTAGGTTCCAAACTCTGAGAGGGACAGGACTTAGGACATACCCCTCAAGTTAGCATCTCCCATTGGCTAGCTTAGGCATCTTCCCATCTGGTGTGCTGGCTTTTGTGGATCCCATTCTTAGGCATCTATCTCTCCCCGTGCATCGTATAGGAAGCCTAGGTGCCTAATGTGGGCTTTATGGATCACATTGTTGTTCCTGTGATTTTCTAAGTGCCTGAAAGTTAGCCTTGTGATGCTGAGTAATTTCTGTCATGGATCGGGGCCCTAGAGTCCCGTCATGGATCCGGCCCCCAGCATTCCAGAGTGGGGATTAGGATTTACAGTATCCGCATTTTCATCAGCACTTTAGTCTGATGTGTCCCTGAATAAAACAGAAATGTCCCACCATCCTGTCATTTTACAAAGCAGTGATTTTGTAAACAGCTGCAGGCCCCATGAGCCTGCCCAACAAGCACCTTCCACACAATTCCTCTACCCAGATGTTCCCTGCACACACAGTCCATTCCATAGGGTGTCTGAGAAGGCAAATTCAGGAGTCCTGCTGTGTTTGGGGTGGGGGAAGAGACAGAAGCAGGAACCCTTTCTTTCTCTGCTTACTCCACTGCCAAAACCCTCCTGTGCACACCTCCCTGACTGCTCTCCCCCGCCACGCCCCTACAAGCATACTCCTAGAGTCCACGGCTTGGTCTGCACTACAGAGATAGGTCAACTAAGGCAGCTTACGTTGACCTAATAATGTCAGTGTCTACACTACAGCCTGGTCCCACCAATGTAAGTTCTCTACTACACCGACATCATAACTCCACCTCCATGAGAGACGTAGGCTTATATCAGGGTAGTTAGGGCGAAGCAGTGTCCATGTAGATACTGTGTTATCTACGTTGGCTGTTGGCTGTCATTCTTGTCAATTTCAGGGCTCCATGCTGGAGCTGTGTAATTAACAAGAAAGCCCAGGCTGGTGGTGGGCTAGAGTCTGGCTGCCCCCCATCCTGGCTCCCCGCTCAGGGAGCTGAGAAGCCCAGGGAGGCTGTCCCCCCCCCCTCCAAGCGGGGAGGAGAGAAGCCCAGGTGGCCGAGAGCAGGGAGGTGAGATGCCCAGGTGGCTGTCCCCCACTCCTGGTGCAGAGTGGGGAGGCGAGATGCCCAGGAGGCAGCTGGGCTCCCAGTGGGGAGCTGCATTGAGCTGCGAGCCCTGGCTTTCTGCCCCCCACACTGCCCCTTTTCAGTCAGTGCACCACTGACAGAAGGAGTTTAGTGCGGACATGCCCCTAGAGTTTAAGTCCCAAAGGGATTATTAGATTATCTAGTCTGACTCCTGTATATGACAGGCCACCAACGCCACCCAGCACCCGCACACTAAATCCAACATACTCTGTGTGCCCACCCCAACAAGCATCCTGTTTTTTCACTTTGAAAATTTGTTCACTATACACCTTGGTTGCCCGATATTGAAAACTCTGATAGGAATTTGGGATTCCAAGTACAGAAACACTAGCTAATTTTAGCTGAAATACATTTGTTGGCTTTGCTTCTGATAGCCTTTCCACAACAAATCATATACATGAAGACCATGCATTCTGAAGATGACAACACTGCTCCTGGATTACTGCATAGGACCACATAAAGCTCTTACCAGCACCTCAAGAAGCAGTGGCTATAACTAGCAGAGACTGAACTTTCTCTTTTTGACTGTGTTTATGTTGCCTGCTTTTTTCTTCTGAGGCACTAGCTATTTAAACTGTTTAAATTGTTCTGTTTGAATTTGAGCAATGACCTTCCACTGCTTACTGTCAGAAAGATAAGTAATGACACTAATTTACAGTGAATGAAACAAATTCAGTTTGCAAGTTCTGAAATTCCAATATTTTACTGGTATTTTGCTAATTCTCCAGACTATATTAATGGATTTATTTTGAATGTTCAGACTGTTATTATTTTAATATATACGTTCGGAAGACAGCCTCATGCAGAATTTGGTTACCGTAAAACTTCTGATATGAATACTGTAGGAGGGAATATGATGTTTGAAATCAGTGTTTCTTCTCTCCTGTTGATTTATGTTTTCAAGGTTATTTTTCTCAATTTAGAAGAGCTAGAAACTTTTTTTAAAACAAAGATTTAAAATGTATCAAATACAGGAATAAGCTATAAGAAATCCCTACTCCTACTGTGTGAATGATCTGGATGATGGGATTAATTGCTCCCTCAGCAAGTTCACAGATGACACTAAACTGGGGGGAGAGGTAGATACGCTGGAGGTAGGGAGAGAGTCCAGAGTGACCTAGACAAAATTGGAGCATTGGGCCAAAAGAAATCTGATGAGGTTCAACAAGGACAAGTGCAGAGTCCTGCACTTAGTACAGAAGAATCCCATGCACCGCTACAGGCTGTGGACCGACTGGCTAAGCAGCAGTTCTGCAGAAAAGGACCTGGGGATTACAGTGGATGAGAAGCTGGATATGAGTCAGCAGTGTGCCCTTGTTGCCAAGAAGGCTAATGGCATATTGGGCTGTATTAGTAGGACCATTGCCAGTGGATCGAGAGAAGTGATTATTCCCCTCTACTAGACACTGGTGAGGCCACACCTGGAGTATTGCATCCAGTTTTGGTCCCCCCACTACAGAAGGGATGTGGACAAATTGGAGAGAGTTCAACGGATGGCAACAAAAATGATTAGGGGGCTGGGGCACATGACTTACGAGGAGAGGCTGAGGGAACTGGGGTTATTTAGTCTGCAAAAGAGAAGAATGAGGGGGGATTTGATAGCAGCCTTCAACTACCTGAAGGGGGATTCCAAAGGGGATGGAGCTCGGCTGTTCTCAGTGGTGGCAGATAACAGAACAAGAAGCAATGGTCTCAAGTTGCAGTGGGGGAGGTCTAGGTTGGATATTAGGAAACACTATTTCACTAGGAGGGTGGTGAAGCACTGGACTGGGTTACCTAGGGAGGTGGTGGAATCTCCATCCTTAGAGGTTTTTAACGCCCGGTTTGACAAAGCCTTGGCTGGGATGATTTAGTTGGTGTTGGTCCTGCTTTGAGCAGGGGGTTGGACTAGATGACCTCCTGAGGGCTTTTCAAACCCTAATATTTTATGATTCTGTGAATGCACAAGGCGGCAATGGGACAGCTCATGAAAGGCAAACTGAATTTGGCCTTACCATAAGTCATTTCCCCTAACAATAAACAAAGTGACTGATTGACAAAATTAATGCTATCATAAGGAGAACATCTTTTTAGTCATTACATCACCATATTACCTGATAAAGAGACAAATGTCAGTTTTATATTTTCTTAGGGTTGTTTATAGATAAAACATTTTGAATCTTAAATACTTTTGTTTAGCCCCTTCCCACTGGCTATTTACTACTACATGCAGAACACTACACAGCTGAAGCTCTTTTAAGTATATTGCATAGCTGTAAAGGAATTTCACTGCATTCATGGCTGGGATGCTAAAGAATGTCTTTATTTAATTTACTGGAGGCTCCTACTCTCTTCTACTCCCCAAACCACAGAGAATAGACAGACAGAGTTGCAAGACCGAGTATATTTCCAGGTTAGTAACAAGCTTGTTTTATGTTTGGCTGCTAGTGGATGTATCTGTTTTTGAAACTGTATTTATGATACAGTGCTGGTAGATGTTAATTCAACCATCTGTATCATTTCTTTGTACTACACTTTACAGTTAAAAAGCAGATACAATTAGTTAGTGGTAACTGTCAAAGTGCCAGATTCCTTCTAATGGGGTATTGATTATACTTGGATGACCTGCTGAATACAACATGTATTTTTGTTGGATACCCTGCAGTATAACTTCAGGAATTTAAGTGCTAAAAATATTAAAGTAATATTTTCAGTATGTTATAGACCAATGATGTTTTCCATAAGAGAAACAAAATTAATATGAGTATGAGTTTCTCATGGAAGAGATGTCTAATAATTTATATTTTAATTACACAATAGGTTTGTATCAAACTGTCAAGTACTTTTTCCTTCACATATATTGCTGGCCTAAAGTTAATGTCCAAATTCTTCACTCTTCTTTGCCGTAAAGATACTAAAACTCAGAAAGCTGGAAGGCTAGGTTGGTTGATTAGAAATAATTTCCCACCTCCCTACTTCTTGTAACTCTTAACCCAATAATTTTAAATACAAAGAAATTTACTTTGAGTCTAAGGAAAGGAAAAGAGTAATTGTATTCCATGTACAAAGTATGAGAATCAGTCTTGTGGCTCTTACACTGACATGTAATTTTAAAACTTCTTGTAAACTTCTTGAAACTTCTAAAAGAGTGCTTAGAAATCCAAGAGTGCTTAGAAACCCCACTATAATCTGAAACATGCAAGGTTTGATCATGTTTAAAGGTACTTGTTGTTAGGAGCCATCTAGCAGAGAATTGTGCTAGCCAAATCATGCTATACCTTTTTCTTGTAGATATGGTAGTAAATGCCAATCGTGTCGTTTTTACTTTATAACACAATTCTCAGACTAAATCCACAATCACGTTGGTCAGGGAAATCATGCTGCCATAGATCCCTGATGGCAAAAACAATACAACAGGGTTTGCATCCACACAACACTGTCACAAACTGTGTTAAATTTAGGTTTTCACTCTGATCTGGACCAATTTCCTGGAACATCGTTGGTGCAGCCGTGGTTTAAATGAGACTACAACATAAATTCCCAATTACTCTGGGCAGGCAATCCCTGAGACCAGGGTTTTTAAAATGTTAGTCCCGAGCTTCCTTTAGGGAAATTAATCCAATTGAGCCCTTCCCACCCTGGAGTCCTGCTATATCTTATTAAAGGGCTACATCTTTTCCTTCTCACCTGCTGGTCCTTCATGCACCCCACACTTGGGGAAATGCAGACATGATTCTTCCTTTCCTTTCTTACATGTTTTGATTCGCAGATAGTTAGAAATGTTGACATTTAAATTGTCAATGACATCACCTTTGTAGGTATAGCTGCCTCCCTCACAACCAGGGCCGGCTCCAGGCACCAGCCCACCAAGCTTGTGCTTGGGGCGGCACCTGGAGGGGGGCGGCGCGGCGCTCCGGCTCCGGCTGCCTGGGAGAGCGGAGCCGCAGTGGGCTCGCCGCCCGCCCCTGGCGCTCTGGCAGCTGGGGAGAGTGGGGCCGCGACTGGGCTCGTCACCCTCCCCGCGGCGCTCCGGCCGCCGGGGAGAGCAGAGCCGCAGCGGGCTCGCCGCCCTCCCCCGGTGCTCTGGCCGCCGGGGAGAGTGGGGCCGCGACTGGGGTCGCCACCCTCCCTGCGGCGCTCCGGCCGGCCGGAGAGAGCGGGGCCGCGGCAGGCTCGCCGCCCTCCCCCGGAGCTCTGGGAGAGCGGAGCCCCGGCCGGGCTCTCCGCCCTCCCCTCGGCACTCTGACACTCCGCCCTCCTCCCGGGGCTCCGGCCGCCAGCGGAGCCGCGGCGGGCTCGCCGCCCTCCCCCCAGCGCTCCGGCGGTCGGGGAGAGTGGCCCGCGGCCGGGCTCGCCGCCCTCCCCTGCCGCGCTGGGGGGGTGGGGCGGGAGGGCGGCTGGAGGCTTTTTTGCCTGGGGCAGCAAAAAAGCCAGAGCCGGCCCTGCTCACAACAGCTATGTGTGGCTACTTCTGTTATAGCATTATTAATACACAACCCACTGACTTCATTCAGTATCTGGACTAGTACATTGCCTGTTATGGAGCAACTTTGCAGATCACACCACATATATTTTGCCTTAAATAAGCCCTCTGTGGTTAATAGGAATGATGATGAGCCACAATGGCAAATAACCTTTTAAACCACAATTTGGAGAGGAAAGGTGACTGTGAATGAGTGAAATTTATCAGGGACAAAATTCAGACAAGCAAAAACCCATGATTATGAAAAACTCCAGATGGGTCTAAACAAAATGGAAGTGCTCCACTACTCCTGTTATGAAGGTAGATTAATGTAACTTGAATAAATGTAAGAATTAATACCATTACATCTCTAAATTTCTCATATGCTGATTGACTCCCTAATCATAGGATATTTAAGGAAAAAGTCTCAAGAGTGTCAGATGGTTGTCCAATGAGGATATCTGGTCTATGTACAGCTGAAGTGAAAAAAATAATATAGAATAATTGGAAGTGTTAAGAGAAAAGATTGAAAAATGATACTCTATAGCTATGTCCTTGCCTGGGGCCTAATTCTCATTCCTTGTGTATCCAAAAATCCCATTGGAGTCCACAGGAGTTTAAGGCATGCAAAGAATGCAGCTCTTTGGTTTACAAAATTCAACTTGTCACCTCACCTCAAAAAGGTCAGAAAAGGGTGTTGAAGATGGATTAGGACAGTGTGATGTTTATTTATGAAGAGAAACTAGAGAGAAAACTGGGATTAGCCTGAGGATGTGAAGAAGAGACTTGAAGGAAGGTGTGTAAGTGTATTGAGAGTATAGCAAAAAAGCAATCAGATGCTCCTTTCTAAATTGTGCCACAGGAAGTCACCATGACTAATAATGTGTTTGGGTTTTGAGAAGACTAGATAATTTCATGATTAGCTATTTGCAGCTGGGAAAGGTGATGGCAAGATTCTAACTACATAATAAAGGGAGTTAGTTGATCACCCTCTTGGGCTGAGAAAAGAGTCCCACAAAATATAAGATTCTACACAAATTAGGGCTTGTCTACACTTAAAAAGCTACAGCAACACCATTGCAGCAGGCTTGCTGTAGCGCTTCAGAGTAGATACTACCTACACCGATGGGAAGGGTTCTCCCATCAGTGTAAGTAATCCATCACCCCAAGAGGTGGAAGCTAGGTCAATGGAAGAATTCTTCTGTTGACCTAGAGCTGTCTACATGGGGATTAAGTCGCCTTAACAACACCACCCAGGGGTGTGGATTTTTCACACCCCGGACACGTAGTTAAACCAAACTAATTTTCTAGTGTAGACCGGGTCTTAGTTACATTGTTTGTATGTCTGTCTTGGAGGCACTGTATGGGTCATGATGAAAGGCATGATATCAGACTAGATCGGGGTGGGCAAACTTTTTGGCATGAGGGCCACATCTGGGAATAGAAATTGTATGGTGGCCCATGAATGCTCACAAAATTGGGGTTGGGATGTGGGAGGGGGTGAGGGCTCTGGTTGGGGGTGCAGGTTCTGGATTGGGCTGGGGATGAGGAGTTTGGGGTGTAGGAGGGTGCTCTGGGCTGGGACTGAAGGGTTCAGAGGGCGGGAAGGGGATCAGGGCTGGGGCAGAGGTGCAGAAAGCGGTGCAGGTTCCGGCTGGGGGATGCAGGCTCTGGGGTGGGGCTGGGGATGAGAGGTTTGGATGCAGGAGGGTGCTCCTGGCTGGGATCGAGGGGTTTGGAGAGCAGGAAGGGGAACCAGGGCTGGGGCAGTGGGTTGGGGCATAGGGGGAGGCTCAGGGGTGCAGGCTCTGAGCAGCACTTACCTCAAGTGGCTCCCAGAAGCAGTGGCATGTCCCTTCTCCAGCTACTATGCAGAGGCATGGCCAGGCAGCTCTACACGCTGCCCCATCCGCAGGCACCGCCCCTGCAGCTTCCATTGGAGCGCTGGAGGGGGCCGTTGGAGCACGTAGGAGCCGGAGCGGAGCCACGACGCAGCTTCCGGGAACTGCGTGGAACAGCCCCCGACCCTGCACCCCGGCTAGAGTGCTGGAGCAGGGCCAAGCTGCGGCTTCCAGGAGTCGCGTGATGTGGCCCCCGACCCTGCGCCCTGGCTGGAGCGCCAGAGCAGGGCAAGGCCTGGGCCCCGCAGCAGGAGCTCGCGGTCCAGCTTAAAATGGCTCGTGGGCCATAGTTTGCCCATCCCTGGACTAGATGGACCGACAGCTTAATGCAAGAGAGAATCTCTTCAGTTATTTAACTGTATACAAAAATCAAGGCATCACAATTTATCAACTCACCCCTGAAGAAATCTAAAACCTTTATTGTATAAACTGAAAGAAATCTATGTACCTCTCAAGCAATTTTATATGTATTTAATAAATGCAGAAGTGTAAAACTAGTGTTTTTCCCTTACCAGAATTAAACCAATTTGTTTAATTAATATACATAAGCAGCAGTTAACCTTTGTCATAAGTCTCTCTCCATGTCAAATTATCACAAAAATAATCACATCAATATTTTTAAATTGTGACTTGAGTACAATAAATACCATAGTTATTGTTGACATGAGACAGTGTTTGTTTTGGCCAAAGGGCCGGATAGCAGAGGGGACAGGCAGTAGGAGATGCTCTATGCCATCATAGCGACTGATGTTGCCTCTATTTGAAGTGATTGTAATAACTTTCAGTCAGATGATTGCTTGGAATGAATTTGAACAAGTTTGGTCTCAGTTCTCAGCAGATTGATATCACAAAACATCCGCGCAGATTGTACTCATTCGCACTCTATGTCTAAACTGCAATTAAAAAATCTGTGGCTGGCCAATGCCAGCTGACTCAGGCTCATGATGCTTGGACTACGGGGGTGTTTAATTGCAGTGTAAAATTCAGACTCACGCTGAAGTGTGGGTTCTAGGTCCCTGAGGGGGGGGAGGGACTTAGGACCCTCCATCAGGGCCAGCTCCAGGCACCAGCTTCTCAAGCAGGTGCTTGGGGCGGCTGCTCCAGAGAGGGGCGACAGGTCCAGGTATTCGGTGGCAATTCGGCGGACGGTCCCTCACTCCGCCTGGTAGTGAAGGACCTCCCGCCGAATTGCCGCAGCAGATCGCGATCGCGGCTTTGTTTTTTTGTTTTGGCTGCTTGGGGCGGCCAAAACCCTGGAGCCGGACCTGCCCTTGATGGCCGTCTCAGAGAGGCCAAGTACTAAACGGATATGGAAATTAACTGCATTGATGATCCCAGTGGGCCAGAAGTGAGGCATGTTGGCAGGGCAGTATGGGGAAGCTTGCCCTGCCACTGCCAATATGGTATACATTCTGTGAATAAACAGAGGAATTCAGTCTCCAGGGCTCAGTCTGGCATCTTTCACAGGGACTAAAACATTTCGATGGGAATTAAACACCTAAATTTTTTTGAGGATCTGGGACTAAATTCACATATACACAACTTAAAATTGTATATATTTTAAATTAACTTTATCCAAAAAGATGAAACATTAGTTTTACTTTACATAAAACATTTTTATTATTATTGAAATTTGATGGCGATAACGTATAATACATATGTTAATTTATAGAGGTACAACACCAACACCTTTGACATAAGAATACAAAGACTTGAAATAAACCTTGTGCGGACCACAATCAAAGCAGAGAAAAAAGTTACGTATTTTTCAACAGAAACAGATCTTGCTGTCCTACTCATATGAGTAAAGGTTAGCAAGATTTGGCTACAAATGTAATTCCACCATCATGGAAGCATCTGATAGTCACTGAAAGTAGAGATTAAAAAGATTTAAGGGCATCTGCTCCATTCCCTGCCAGTGCAGGATTGTTCTCTGCAATATATTGTCTAGTGTTTTGTCCAAGTATACCTTTACATCTCTTAATGATTGATGCTTCCAGTACTTTCCATGAAAGACTATTCCACGATTCTGTAAGTCCCAACATTTTCCTGATAGTTAAAACCTATCCCTTTCTCAGTTTCATCTCATTATTTTAGTTATGTCCTCTGCTCCATGTTAAATAATGTCTCTCTATCATTGGTGTTTACTGTTTATACCCTGAAGGTATTTATAGATGGTTATGTCCCCACTTACTCATCACTTAGCCAAAATGTGCATATTTAATTACTTTAGTTTTTTCCTCATAAAGCAATCATTGTTGCTCTTCTCTGAATTGATGCCACTCTCTTTTCATCTTTCTGATAATAAGGTACTCAGAACTAAATGTAATATTCCAGGTGTGGTCTCACCACAGTTGTACTGAGAAGTCCTGCCTTCCCTGCTCTGACATGTGATGTCTCTATATATGCAGCCCAATTTCATGTTGGCCTTCTTCCAGCCACGTCACACAGAAAATTTGTGTCTAATTTGCTGTCCACTTTCTCCCCTGGGTCTTGTTCAGCGTAACTGCTTTCCAAGTTTCTCCCTCCTACACACATTTGAGTGTAATTCAGATTATTTTTTCTCAGGGTGCATTAGTTTGTATTTTCCCACATTCTGCTAGATTTTAGTTCCAGATTATTTTGTGTTATTGCTCCATCCTCCTGTTTACAACACCTCCCCATTTAGTATCTGTGACAGATTCCCTGAGAGGTGCCACCTGGAACTGGGGTCCACTGAGCCCCCCGACCCACCAGCCTGGGCTCACTTTTACACTGTACTGCTGTGACCAGCCTGCCAAGCCTTCTCCCAGGCTCCACCACACATACAGGTAGGGTCATACCCAGCTGCAGTTACTGTTACCTGGGGTTTTTAGAACCCCTAACCGGGGCAACTTAACTATTTTATTTTAGGTAGTGTTATGAATAAATTAGTAGGAACACAGCAATTTCATTTGATAAGATTTATGCAAGTAAGCGTTCTTTATTTAAAACTGCAGTTTATTAGATTTAAGCACACACAGACATAAGCAATAAGATTAGAATATTTTAGATATTTACCTAATATTAGGAAGGGTATTGAGTACTTAACAACAAGTTTGCAGTGGCCAGCTGCTTACCCACCAGTGAGAAAGATTGTTAGGAAATCATTTTTTAAGTTGGCTTTAGAAGACTGCTTTAAAATACACTTTATTAGCTAATTTTTTTATAACTAACTTTTATAGAATACATAGGTTATAATGACCCCCTACTATATTATTACTTTTTTAACTTTTAATAAACTTTTAATATTAGAGGTGTCTAGATTTAAGTTTTTTTTTAACCACCAAGGTTTTTAGTCTTAATTGTTTACTTGTTTGTCCCCTTCTCCCGTTCTGATTAGCAGAAACTGCCAGCTAGATATGACCTTGCTTCTAAAAGCCTGTTTCCAAATTAAACTTTAACTGTATGGTGTTCTATTTTATTAATTTAGGGTGGATGAATGCACATAATATGGTTGCAATTAACTTGATCACATTCTGGGGTATACACACCCCTTAAATCCAGGTCAACATTCCCCTCCTTAAAGGCCATATATCTTTAATATTAAGGCCTTTATATATACTGTATATAATGAGTTTAGTGAGTTACTTTGAAGGTTTAGCATTAGGCTCAAGGCTTTCGACCGAGACCGAGCAAAAATCCTCTTGCTGGCACTTTCTGGTTTCACCCCTGACTTTGCCTTGTTAAAGACCAAACTTTATGCACTTATTTTGGGGAGTACCCATGGTCTATAAAACAGCTGACTTTGCAACCAGTCACTCTTCCTCTGAATTCAGCATATCAGTACAAGAAGCACAACAACCAATGCCATCTGAAACATTAGAATTACTACAATTAAATGTAAGGCCAAATTAAATCCCCAATGCTGTGGGAGACCATTTTAATAATGTCTTTTATTAATTTTGTTCTGAATTTTTGCTAACCCTTTTAATTACTTATTTAATTTAATTAGAAGCATGGTGGATGGTAATTATGACTTTGCGCGCCTTTTGCCTAGCAACTTACAAATAATTTTAAATAGGAATGCTTAAATAACATTTTTATAATAATTAAATTTATTTTAATAAATACAGGCTTTTTTGTTATTTTTAAATATATATTTTGTGGCTGCAAAGTATTTCTGATTTTTATATTTAATTTTAAAAATGTTTAAGTAGGCTTTAAATTTTTAATGGAAGTATTTTGCTTATATTATTTTAAATTCTGTTTTTTACTATATTAATAATTTACATTTGCGTGCATGCCAGGGCTAAGGAAACATTACCCTGGAGGGCACCAACAGCCTGCAAGAGGTAGAAATGGTTCTTTTTTGGGGATTGATTTTATTTTTGTAAAACTTGTGCCACCTCATCCTGTATGCAGCTTAGCTGATTTAAAAATACCCTTAGCGGCATTGCTAAATTTTTTAGGTGTTGACCCAGCGCATTTATTTTATTTGTAATTATTTTTATTGATATTATTTTGTTGTTTTTACTGTACATTTACATAGTGACTGTTAATTTACTTTTTATTTTTATATGCTTATTTACATTGGTTTGAAATATATATGCTTTAATTAAATTAATTACAGGTGGTTTTAAATTTATATTTTTTGACTATTTTATTAAAGCACCATTTATTTATTTTTTATTTTTTGTATAATTTTTTTGAGAACCTTGGGCCTTTTAAATGGAAGGCAAAAGAGCCTTTTATTCCCCTTATGGTGTTTTTATTTGTGGTTTTGCCTCCCCAAAACTTTCCTGCCCAATGTTTGGGAATAAAAGGGAGTGTTTCAGCCTAACATAAATTGTCTTTTTTCTGGTGCTGTCCACTTGGGAATGTCCATTCATAAATGAACTCAAAGGGGTTTACAGGTGGAAAAAGAACTAAAATTTAAACTAAAATTGTCACCAGTTTGCAGTCCCAAAGTTCCATATTGCTGTTGCTTTTTCTTTCCACCAAAGTAGATGCTTTGTTGTGGCTTCTGGAGGTGAGTTGTGGGTGGGGTCACTTCTGTCCCATTGACATTTGACCACTTCCAAGAGGTATTGGCAACATTGCTGGAGACTTTTCTAGTCACCAAGATCTACATTATTTGTTACTGTGTCATTTACTTTGCCTTCCTGTCATCCACAGGAAGTTTTCCCATGCTGTGGGCACACCAAGTTCCAAATTCAGACCATCAGAGGAGGAGGCCGGTGAGTCAAATGCCAGCCAAAACAGCACACAGGAATGCATCATTTCCAAGGTCTTCCAGCAGTCACATAATTAATAATTTAAAACGCAAAGCAAAACAAAACTTCTGCCCTCCCCATATAGAGGGAAGTATACATTTAAACATAACTTAAACATTTAACTAACTTACTAGTCTGTACTTAGACCCATTTGGGCCTAAGTCCCTTTTTCCCCTCCACCCTTTTCCTTTGGGAGGGGCTTTTAAACTCTTAATTGTGCTTTGAGCACCCACTTGGGGCTCAGCAAATTCATCAGCCCTAATTTGCTGAGGGCTTGCTGTGGCTGAAGACATGACCATTATTAACTTTGCCAGTAAGCACGTATTTCACTGGGGAGTGGGCAGTTTTCAATAAAAAGGGACAATTCCACCAGATATTCCCGATGATGCAAAACCCAAACTACTGCCAAAACCTCCTTTTTCACAGGGAGTAAACCTGAACTGCGGCCACTGGGAGCTGTGGGGGGCCATGCCTGCAGATGGTCAATGTTAGCAAAATGTCTCGCAGCCCGCAATCAGATTACCCTGATGGGCCATATGCGGGCCGCAGGTTGCCCACCACTGCTTTAAACACAGGTTTCTGAATCTTTTGTAACACCCTATTCAATACTTTCAAAAAAATATTTTTGGTCTAAATACAAATCAGGATGTTATTTACATAAAAAATCATACTGTCTTTTTCAGGCATCCTGTCATAAATATAAAGGGAAGGGTAACAACCTTTCTGTATACAGTACTATAAAATCCCT